GAGGGGTAGAGAGAACAAAAGTCCAGATAGCGTATCATTTCGCTCCGTCCGGAACAATAGTACAATTTAACAGCATTCGTGCGTCCCCCAAAAAACGAGTCTCGTGGGTCTAACCTCTCTTGTAGATCCAAGGAGCCGATGAAGGCTGCCACCTTTTTATTTTGGGTCAGCAAGTTCTCAAAATCGTGTTCCCACGTGCAGACATACTTCATCCCAATTGATTCAATGTATCGTCTTTTTTTTAAAGTCAGGGCCAGTAACTCATCCATGGATTGGTTTGTTCTTACATGTTTTATCTGTTGACGCCGATTGGGAAAACAAATCGGACACCCATGCCAGTAGCATCCATTAAATTCATAAGCTGTGTTTGTTTCCGGACAAAACCCGTCTAACCTGTATCTCGTTCCAGGTAGGTTTACTTCACCATCATTCAATGCATGGCGAATGTAGATTTTATTGCCCGTCTTTCTGTAATGGTCTTCTTGGACCCAAGACAGCCACTGGATGGAAATGGTGCTGTATTGACCTAAGAAAGGTCCATAACCCACGGACGGAATTTGTGAAATTGAAGAACTGACAAACTCGGATTCCTCGATAACGCAATCTTGATTTTGTAATTCCTTGCCCGTCACCCAACTTCCATTGAAGTAGATAGAAAATTCTCCTTGCAACCGTCGGGCAGGTAGCCAGTCGGTCAACGCTCCATCATTTCTTAATTTAACGCGCCAATCTTCATGCAAAAATTTAGTTTTGAACACTTGCATGCAGACGCCAGCAATTGTGATATGCTGAAATGGATCCACTCCACCCATCAATTTTGTTTCTGGCAATTCTCCGTCAAATATCACTTCCTGTTTTCCAGTGATATTCATAAGAATATCTCTAAATTTCAGGCAAGCCTGTCTTAGTATGTTTACATCGCTGCGACAGTATTCCAAAATTTCTCTGGCAAAGTCAAAGGTCTCGTTACTTTCCACTTTTTCATGATACCATTCCAGAAATTCTTGTCGTCCTTTGGCATTCATCATATCACACCCGTAAAATCTGGAGGCAGGATAAGGCCCAATGTAGTTGAAATTTTTTTTCATGTTAAAAAAATGGGGAAAGTATCCTTTTTTTATTTGTTCCAATCCAAATGCCTTAGGCAGTTCTGCCAACTTCATGGGGAGAAAATTAAGAGAATCTAAGACTCTTATATTCAATCCTCTTTTTACATGTAAGTACATGATTTTAGACCCCGCATAAATGACTTTCGGAACTATGGAATTGGTCAAGAGATATTCAAGCAAAAAGTAGCCATCATAGCCCTTCATGTTATGTGCAACGACTGTAAAATCCTTGTGTGTTTCGTTAAACAGCCATGACCCAAAAGCATGTGCTACATTGTCACCTTGAAACACGGTTTCGCGAAATCCACACGTGTCTTTGCAGGGTGGGTTGGCATAAGTTTTTTCTTCTTTGTCAATTTCATTACACTTCCCACATCTAGTTCCGCAGTTGTCGCACTTTGATTTTGTATCAACTTGTTCGGCAACACATTTCTCGCAAACTTTCTGAGCCACTACTAAATTTGGTATGTGCTGAAATTTCCCACACCAGGATTGTTGACAGTTGGTGCAAAGAGCACATTCCAAACAAGACTCGGTGTTGTTATTACATTGTACACAGTCAGGATTTTTTGTCACGGAGTACCCCTCTGCACAGCACAAAACGTCATCCTGGGTGCATTCAAAATCAAAGAAGATGTATCTGGCTTTCTTTTCCTTGCATTCTAAGGCTCTCATGTAACACAAGTGCTCTGCATTCACAAACTGCTTACAAGCCTGACATTGCCACTCTCCACAGAAATGATCTTCTGGTCTTCTTTGATGCCTGTCTATAATTTTCTTACAAACTGTACATTTCCACCAACGATCACACTGAGATTCCTGAGTCTTCCCTCTCTGTAGTTTGTGTGATTTAAAACATTCCAAAGATCTACATGTCATGTGACAATGTCGACAGCTTACTTCTTGACCAACGAAACAATTATCAGTTCTTTTACACACAATGCATGTAGATGCACAATTGTGCTTTTTTTGATATGGTTTCAAACACTTATGACAGAATTTGGATTGTGCAAATAGCCCGCAAATATTGGCAATGGTGTCAAAATGTGCATTTCCATCTCTTTCGCTGTGATATAGAAATAGGCGTTGTCTACCATTTGTTTTTCCCTCTTCAGAATGTGCTGTGGTGCGTATAAATTTGTTTCCGACAGCAGAACTGACGACCAGAATGTCCAAGTTGAGCACATTCTCAAAGGCTGCAATGTCTAGAATCGATAGACGTCTCTCAGTACTTTTATTGGCTTTCTGACAGAGGAGAGTGGCAAGGTCTTTTTGACATTGTTCGCCCTTTGCTGTTCTAGTCATTAGTTGTTTGTAATACCATATTGGACATTTTTTAAACTCCATCACTCTTTCTTCCATTGTTTTTCCATCATTAGGGTTAAACAATAGTCGCCAATCTGCAGTAGGAATTTTGCATAATTTTAAGAACCCCATACAGATACTTCGGGCAAGACATAATTCGTCTGAATTCCAAATTTTGATGCAAGACTTTTTAGTTGCCATAGAGTCTTTACCATCACCTAGTTTGTTGATAGGTCTGGCTCCTGTTCCTCCCTTAGGGATTTTAATGGTACCCACATTTAGATAAAAGCTGTGATCAAGAGAGAGATTCTCGTGACTGGTCAATACATTTTGTAAATGCCCCATGACAACTTTTCCTGTGAGATCTTTTAGAGGTTTAAGGGGGACATATACAGGATTAGTCAAACCTTCATGATGTATGATGACACGCCCCAGGTCTGTTGACGAATCGAGCCCTTGTGTGGCTTGAGAAAGGGCATCTTCAAAAGTGTTTTCTAATTCTCGATGCAGATCTGACAATCTTTGACCCTGTTCCACAGAATCTGAATCAAATCTAACTTGATAATTTTTGTCAATAGCACTGTTTTTCTTAAAAGTTTTCTCGCCTACAAGTCTTAGGTTGTATGGTATTGTTCTTTTGTCCCCATAGCCAGTCTGTGACGGACCAGGTTGAGAATAAACAGGTTCTTCTGTGTCTGTTTCCATGATTGAAATTCCACATTGATCGGGGTCAATTTCCATGGGTTCTTCTTCTGTCTGATTAGACGTAGACTCATGATTTATGAGGGAAATGGGAGACCAAGGTTTTTGATCACTGTAATCGATCTGGTCCATTTCATGAAACAGCTCATGAAACTTTAAGTCCGATTCAGTATTCAATATCTCACCACAGTAAGGACACAAGTACTGCTGTTGTAGCTTTGAAGGAAAAAAAAATGATCGACTCAGTACATTCACACGCTTAAACTTTCAACATGTATAGGTCTAATATTTTTTTGTAAAAAAAAACAAAAAAAAATAATAAATTCTACGTTAAACAGTTTTTAACGAATTTTAATCTAGCTATATAGCTGTTTTCTTTAATTTAGAGTTACCTCTCTTTGTTCATGTTCATTTTCGTGGCCTTGTCCTTCCATATAATTTTTAAACTGTAATCCACAATGACAACAAACAAATGATTTCTGTCGAGAAAAAAAAGGTTCTTCACTAAACGTGAAAATTGATCGGAGGTAGAGGTACTGTTTATCCGTACTTAAGAATTACACCAAATTGTTTTTTTATTGAAAAAAAATGCATTAATAATATTACCGATTCATTATCGTTATCTTGTAACGTTGACCTTCGAAGTTCATGATGAACATTCTCTTCATGTAATCGACCTTCAAGGTGAGTCTTAAATACCAGACCGCAGTATTTGCAAAGAAAGTCAGACATCTACAAAAATAAGAATGAGTGATTTTTTTTTCATTATTGATTTTTTTTTGCCAAGATTCTTTTTTCTATCGATCTACTTGAGGGGGAAGGAACGATAACTCCATGTCAGTGAACTCAAGATCTGTGACGGATCCAGGCCCCAAGACCATAAACTGAGAACAGACTTAAGTCAAAAATTTCAAAACCAATATAACTTTTGAAATAAGATTTTCATCATAATTTAAATGTTAAATAAAACTGCAAAATTTTTTAAGCAAATACATTAAATAAAACTCAAGATATTGAAAATCAAATTTTTGACTTAAGTTTATTCTCAGTTTATGGTCTTGGGGCCAGGAATCTTGAAAAATCAACACGTTATTTTATTTGTACACTAATAAATAAATTAGAATATAAATCAAAATTCATACAATCCAAGAAAAACAAAGAAATTCAGAAAATTTTCATTTTTTTTATTAAAAAAACATTCCTTTATATATGATATGTCCCCCTGAGAGCCCTTTATTACAAAATAAACAAAGTATATACTTATATATAAAGATGGGGGTGTTAAAAAATAAAGATGATTTTATTTTTCTCTATATATATTTCCTTGAAAACAACAATTTGTAAAATCACTAAAAAAGTTCTAGATAATCAAAGAAATTGCTGTAGTATGACATTGATATTTTTTTCAAATATTGTACTGATGTTAACTAATAAACTATCTTTTACTAAAAACTAAAAATATGTGATGATCTTTTACAGAAAATAACTACACATTTTCTGGTTTCAGTACTGAAATAAAAAATAAAATAGGACAAAATATTGAGCATTTACCATTGATTTAACAAAGTGTTGTTTTTTTTTCAAGGAAATATAGAGAGAAAAAAATTAGCACACAGTTGTAAAAATGAAAAAAAAACAGGTCAGTTTCAAATTATGACCATAATATTCAGCACTACCCTACATGAAATTATACAATATGTAAATGTACATTGATATAAAGTAAAATGTAAATGTACATTGATATAAAGTAAAATGTAATTGTACATTGATATAAAGTGAAAACCAATACCGATTATAATCTGACACTAAGACTTAAAATGATTAATTATATATACTAAAAGAATGTAACTATGACTAGTTTAGTATCCTCTGTCCATGGTAATAATATAGCATAAAATAGGATTTCTTATGTAACATATACATACATTATTTTCTTTGTAAACAAAATATAAATTTTTCCAAAGGAATCAAATAAAATAATGGTTTTTGAGACAAGATATTGTATTAATTTGATGAAAAAAAGAAATGAGAAAAAATGAAATTTCCTTTACATGTTCTTTTTAGTTTGGCATTTGGTCATTGACCTTGTCACCCTTTTCAATGGGTTAAAAGTGGTTAAGTCTATTTGTTCATAGCTAGGTTTAGATAGGGGTGCTGCAGCAGGAATAGTAGATACATCAAATAAAGATACATCAGACAGACTGGATGTTTCACTTGTAGAAAATAAAGACGGAGTATACAAGGGAGTAGATGTGTCTATACTTGAGGGCGGTGTAAGTGGAAAGAAAATTGGTGAAGAATGATGTGGCACTGGCAAAGGTGACGGTATTCTTTGGATCATAGTGCGTTGTCTTCTCTTACACAGATGTATGAAGGTAAAGGTCAGGACAATACATATGACACAGGAAACAGTACCTGAAAAGATATATAAAAACAAAAAATTAAAAGTTTGTTAAGTTGACAGGGTTCAAGATATGCCTCTTTAGTTAGTGACAGAAATGCAAAAAAGATGCATTCTACAATCCACTTCCTTAATGCAAAAATTCATAAGGCTCAGTTTTCTTATATTTAAATCAGCTAATGCTATTGATCTCTGACTAATAACAAAGTGATGCTTTTTTTCTTATAATGTTTTAACATATAGTCAACAATGGGTATAAAAAAATTAAAGACAATTAATTTTGATGATGTGTATCAACATTTGCATAAAAAAAATTACCTATAACTAGCAAGGCAGTATTAGGGCTCTCAGGGGCGGCTAAATTAATCAATTCTGTGGTGGACGGGGTGGTGAGGGGGCCCGAAGGATCCTCAGTGGTGGTAGTTTGGGTGGTGGTGGCACCGCTACTCTCTCTGCTTGAGGAGTAGCCGCTACCTGTTGTGCCACCACCACCCTCTGAGGTTGTGGGAGCGGCAGTCTCCTCCTCCTCTCTCTTTGTGGTGGCACCTGTTGAGGTGAGGGAGGTGCCCTCAAAATTCTGTACGGTTGTTGTGTTGGTTTCTGTTAAAAAAATAGTAAAATTAAAGTTTTATTTGTTAATATGTAAAAAAGTGTTCTTTCATATATCATATAAGTATGCATATATATGTAATGGGAATATCCCCAGCAGAAATAATTCAAATGATATGGGTTTTATGGAGCCAAGTCCATCTGACTAATAACTATGTAATTATAATTCAGTGATGGTAAGATTATGTCTCTATCTTTGTCTGGGAATTTGTGTCAGAAAAAAGGAATATATTTACATAAAATTTTCCAGAGAACTTTCTACATGCCTACATGAGTATAAGATTCAAATTCTGGGTAATATTTACTTTGGACAATATAAAACCTCATGACCAATAGAATTCAAGTGTATGACCAATGTATGAAATGTCTATGTAAAAAAAATGTGTAGGTGGATCTAAAAGGGGTGTTTGTAATAGCTTAAAACCTACATCTACTACACTTACATGATATATATATTTATATATAAAACAAATATTTTTGCTCAAAACTTATGTTCACATCAGACCATGTGTATTTATGTATTTTATTCCTCTTATGTCTTTTTCCTATTAATCATGAAACTCTTTCTTTTATGTCATGTGTATATTGTGTAACAATAATACCTTGATATATTCTATGGAATTTTTTTTATTTCAAATGACTTTTGAATCTGAATGAGTGTTGTTCCATCTAATTAAAAGAGTTGAAGATAAAATTGACAGTTGCGCGTCTTCTGCTCAATTTTCTTTTTTTTGTTTTAAAAAATCCTCTAAACCTAACCCCCCCCCCCCCTCCCCCTTACTTTCTTTTCCACGGGGGTAAGGGAATAAAAAAAATTTAAACAAAAAAAATTTGTTCATTGTGTAAAAAGATGTAAAAAAAAAAATGTATCTATCGCTGTGTGACGTTTTTTTACCTCTTCCTCCATCATGATAAATTAAATTCGATACAAATAAGGTATCCTGATCCGGAAACTGTAGCAGTGGCGGATCAATGATAATTGTGAATGCAAGATTTTTTTAAAATAAACCTTTTCTTAAAGATTTAACAAGACAATAAAAAACAAACTTACTTTGACAATATCGGACCCTCTTTCCTGATGTTCGAAAGTGTATCTGCCCCTTGGGTACCACCACTGTGTGGGTGGTGCGTCCTATCTCCACAAATATGTTGAAGCGGGTCACCTCACAAAAGGACACGCAGAAACACTGGTCACCCCGCAGATTTTCCCGACAATCGTACCCCCGGAGTGATTCCTTGCAACATCGATTTTGTGTTGGACACAGTTGGACTGATAGCCCAATCAGTGAAAAAAGCAGAATAGTAAACATCGTCTTTTAAGGAGCAAGGTTTTTATAATGTGTCATAAAATGCAGTACTGATATTTTTTTTCACTTATACTTATATACCCCTTATTGCGACCTGTAATTTACTAATGTCAACCGGTTTGGTCAATCGGCATCAAAGGTAACGGATGTATCTGCCGGTCTTATAATTGAAAACACCGCTTTGTCTTTTGAAGGTTTTAATTACGTTGACCCTGGGTCAACATGATTCTTTTTAACAAAATTGAATCCTCTGAGAATCGGAGGTATGATGAATGGGAGAATGAGAGAAAAAATTGATTGCATCGTAGAAAAATGCAATGTATCCTCTTAATTTTTGTATAGGTTGTAGCCTTTTTCTTCAACCGAGTCAACAAAATGTGTTAATTCAGCACTGTCCGTGCTACATAAAACGATCGTAATAATGAGGTCATTCAGGTTAAAAGGTAATTTCTGATAAGATCGGTTTTTAAAAACCTTTTATATAGATGACACCTGTGCACATCACTTGTGCAGTCAGAACCAGTGTAAAATATTTGCATTGTATATAACATTAAAATTACACCATAAAAGACCGGTATTGTTGGCGCTCTTTTTTTTTAGGTCAACACGGAACAGTTCTCGGTGTCATCAATCACATCTGTACTTTAAAATTTCATAACTATAGGAATGTATGCTATGTCATTATATATATAAAGATCAATCAAAAAAATGACATCGCAATATTTTGTACAATATAAAAAAAAACGATCAATCAACAAACTGATGTAATAAATCTTTTAAAAATAAAAGTATGTTTCATAACTAATAGAGTAAAACGGCTTCTAATTCGATAGTTTTTTACTCCAATAAAAACGAAATTTATGATTTTGGAGGGAAATTTAACAATGTTTAAGCAAAGCTACACATGTCTATCTCTGTCAACTTTATATCCCCCCCCAATCATAATTTAAAGAAAAAAAATGGGGAGGGGGGTGGGATGATTTTTATGGCATAAAATATAAATAAGCAAAATTATATCCAAAGTTCCTTCCCTACCGTTTTTATTACCTTCCCTTACCGCTTTTTTTATCGGCTATTAAAACTCAAAAGAAAGGATGGAATTCACGTTAAGGTAAATTGAAAAAAATAATAAAATCACAATTTTTTTTCAATTCAAACTGTTTAAAAGTTTAATATTATAATTTGTTTATTCTCTTTTTTTTCTCAGGACCGTAAATGACCTACAGAATGATGATGAAATTAAAGTTGCGTTAATTATAAGGTATGTAATAAACTGAAGGGTATTTATTTTGATAACTTATTTTTCTTGTGATACAAATGTAAAAATTATAAAAAAAAAAAAGTTGTAAGCAGACTTTAACAACTCAATTCATTTACAAAATCTTATTATCTGTAATTTCCTATAATTGTAGTAAACAAAAAAGGATTCCAACAGAAGACAGAAAAGAGGAAAAAGAAGAAGAAGAACAAGTTGAAGACAACAGAGAGGAGAGAGAATATGGAGAGAAAAAAGACGTCAGAGAGGAAGAAGACAGAGAAGAAGAAGACAGAGAGGGAGAAATAAACAGAGAGGAGGAAGAAGACAGCGAGGGTGATTTAAATAGAGAGGGGGAAGAAGTCAGCGAGGGTGAAATAAATAGAGAGGGGGAAGAAGACAAAGAGGAGGAGGGAGTCAGAGAGGAGGAGGAAATCAGAAGAGAAGAACTAATGGAAATTGATGAAGATGAAGACAAAAAAATAATTCAAACATTGTTATCGAGAAAGAGTGATTTAGAACATCAGAGACAGGAGGTAGAGAACAGACTTTGTGAAATAAGTGAAGAATTAGAGGAGTTATCCTACCTCATATAAAATGTAAAGTATGTAGAGTTATCTATCCTTCTTAATATAGAATTTTCACAAAAAAACGTACCTTTTTTCTTCTTGACGGTCAATTGATTTGATAAAAAAATTTCACTAGATTTTATATGAAACCCTTGTGTACATCATTTCTAAAAATATTCATGTATTTTTACCGATTGTTAATATTTCAAAAGAGTTGTGAAATAATACGTTACATTCATTTGATATGATTGTCTTTTGTTTCTTATATACACAAAGTTTATATATAGAAAGTAATAAATAATGTATACATTCATTTTTTTAATCTTGTTAATTCTTTTCAAGGTAAATCATTTTAGCAAATATTTTGTTTCATCTTAACAAGATCTTTTTTCTATACCATTTTACCGTATTTTTTTTCATGAAAATTTAAAAAAATAAAAAGATTTTTGAAATAAAATAAAGTCAATTTTCAAAGTTCAAATTAACGAAAAGCGATAAATGGAAATTTAATAGTTTGAGTTTTTTAGTCTACCGTTTGTTCAGAAAGTTTACACTTAAAAGATATAATTTTTTTTATTTAGAAAATGATATCATTAGAAAATCACAGGTTAATGTTTTTTAACTCTACAAACCATTATGGCCCTTGTAACACTTAACAATTCAATTTTTCTAAACTTATTTAGAGTTTTAGAGTGTTAATATAATAGTTCAAAATATCTAACTTTAAAAAACTCAAACTGATTTGGTATATTGAAATTTTCATATTTTTATTTCAAAAATCTAAAATTTCAAATTTCCAAAAAAAAAAAAGGTTTAACATTTTGAATTATTTAGATATTTTTTTACCTTAAATATTTTAAAATTCAAATTACCAAAAAAAGATGCTATCTACCGTTAGTTGATAAAGTTAACGCTTAACAATCTAAAATTCCATAACATTTTCGTTATTATTTAAAATTTAATTCAAACTTCCAACTTTCAAGCGCTTCCGATTTTTTTTAGAAATTTAGAATTTTTTATTTAAAAAACTCAACTTTTTAAATAAACAAAACACGTTGGTACATTTTTGAGTTTTTTTTTAGAAATTTAATTCAAAATATCCAAAATATGAAATGCTATACTCAGTTTTCAAATTTTGGATATTTTAAATTAAAATTCTAAAAATCTTTAAGTATCAAGTTATTAGAAAAAATTTTAACATTTAAATCAAACTTCCAACTTATTAAAAAAATCTTAAACGTTTCAAAGTAGGAAGTTTTTGGAGTAAATTTTAAATAATCGAACGACGAAAAAAATATAACAAACACTGAAATTCGTTTCTCTGACCATTTTTAGGTATCTTTTCGTAAAATGTGGGTGGCCGTGAAAACGGCCGTTGGTTTTTTTTGTAATGACACTGAGTGCCATTACGTTTCTTTTTCTTCTTCTTCTTCACAAAACGTAAAAACGTTTTCCCCGTTCTTCCAAACCATTCTTCCGGGGGGCCGCTGTACAGTTTTCAGCTCCTCATCCCAGTCTTCTGTCTGAGGAGGGATTTCTTCTTCTTGTCTTCTCAATGACAATTTAAAAGCCATCTTTTTTTTTTTAACACATTGATAATTCAATTTGTAGAAACTTTTATATATTCTTGTTAATTTATGCTAAAGTAATGCCCACTTTACTCCGATAGATAGCGCATGCTCAGGTGTCATTTTTGATAAATCACATAATCTGGCTAAAAACGCCTACTTTATTTTGATAGATGGCGCATGTACTCAGATGTCATTTTTTTAATGAATTGCTAATTATAGATTCCGTAGATGGCGCATGCTCAGATGTCATTTTAGGAATTGCACAACCTTGCGTCATAAATCTATAATTGGCCAAAAATAAAAACTCCGCCATTTTTAAATACATCCAAAAATAAAAACATCCATATCTATAAAGGTATATATGCAGCACGTACTGCTACATAATTTATATTAAACTTGTCTCTAATGATATTACATATCAAATTTGAAATTCCTATATGCCTTATTGAAGAAAGAGTCCAGTATTAAATAGTGAGCCGTTACTGTTAGGTGGTCATCCCCACCCAAATTGTCCAATGATCTGCTGTAATTGTAACAGCTTTTGTTGAAGCCAGCTCTATTTGTAGCTTTTGTTACATAAACAAATGCCATTGTTTCCTTGTTGGGTGAAATAAACTGTAAATCCCTATCGTTCGCAGAAGCTCAGTCAGTAAGGCACACCCTCCGTGATCAGAAGGTCATTAGTAAGTTTGGATTTCGGCCGCGACTGACTTAAGTCGTGAAAATGTGTAGCAAATCTCTTTCGCCTAAGCTCGGCACTTAAAATGAAAGTTACAGTTTTTTTTCGTTGGAGACTTAAAAAGCGAGGCCCCGTGACACAGCAGGTGATGGCATGATAAAGATCTCTCGTTGCTCAATGACCCTTAATATAACGCTCTACACCTATATATGGTGATGTTTCTACATTACTGAAAATTCTCGAAGACAACAAACAATTAATACCGGCCTGGACAACAACTCTTGCTACATCTAAAACGCAAAACCAGAGAATCATATGTACGGTCCTTCGCTTTTTTATCACAGCTGTCTATTTTACTCTGTCATTGCCTGATCATTCAAAAAAGTGTATTTACTGGATAGCAAAAATCTTAATACAGTAAAGTATAACTAATCAAATTTGAACCTTTTAAAAATAAACCACACTATCCTGGGGGAAGAAGGTGACCAAATTGCCTACAGCAACAGATATTAAAATATCGTATTCAATTTGTGAATTAACTTTTTAATATCAGTTGTCATCATTGAAATAAATAAAATCAATTTCAAAGAAAAAAATATTGAAAATAGTGGGATTCAAACCCTAGCAATAAAAATCTATTTTTGTGATTCACATGAGAAAGAATTAGTGAAATTTTTATGTGTGAAAAGAAGAAAACTTTTGATGTGGCCTTCAACTTGTTATTCAGATATATCGACGACGTATTGTCAATTAACAATAATTATTTCAATTTTTAATGTCGATACAATATATATCTCCAGGTCAGTGCAAAAATTAAGTTTGGATATAAATTTCCATTTAAGTGTTTCTTTTTCATTTTAACATTTTATCATATAGGAAATGAATTGCTACATCCATATCTGAGGCATTGTTTTAAAAGAACACTGGGG